TGATATTCATATCTCTTCATTGGTTCACTTTTTTTTCTTTTGTGTTTATTGTAATTCATTAGGTTTTGTGTTTAGTGAGTCAATTTCTTATGTTTTCCATGTGGTTTGCAAATAATTTTGTTCTCGGCTTGTAGCGAATGGTTTTACTTTTTTTTTTGGGCAGCTTGAGTCTAGTGGAAAGACCCTGACTTTCAGGATCTCGGCTTATAGCTGAGATGGGCTTATAGGTGAAGAAATATATATATATATATATATGTCACTCAAAAAATATCTTTCTATCACTCAACTTCACTTTGCAGTGTATACTTAATATTGCATCTTACTTTTAAGGCCATTACCTGTGCCTCAACTTCAGAGATATAACAGTGCCTTGATCTTGAAGGTTACCTTATGCAGTTGCTTTTTTTAGGGTGCCTGTTTCTTGGTTTGTTTTGTCAGTGCTGTTTTCTCTGAATGGGTTCACTAAGTATTTTTTGTAAGGTTACCATTCAGAGTAATTTACCAGCAGAAGTTCAAAGTGAACAACTTTCAGTGTTGTTGCACAAAAGATGGTGTGAGCTCCAAATTTCATACGGTGACACATAGAGTCAAAGCGACAATATCCGCCAAACCACATTTGAGGAATTCCCAACTGTAACAACCCTGGTTGTAAAAACCCAGATATTCCCAGAAATTCCAATTTAATAGCCAACAGGACTTGAAATTTCAAGGAATTCCTCGGAATTCCAACTTAGAGCACCAATGACTTTCCCTGGAAGGCTGTAAATCTAAAAACTTGCCAGAAATTCCCAAGACGTTTCAGGAACTTCTTGGAATGTTCAAGAACTGCTGGGAATTTTAAGCAAAGATTTAAGGTAAATAACATGAAATAAATACTAGAAATTAAAAAACTCCAACTAAAAATTTAAGTATTCAATAGATTTATTTAGATGCTTAACTCAGGTTTACATGTGAAATATTTTTGCTTGTACATCAACATCAACATGTAGCAATATTAGGATGGAATTTTTCTTGAAAACTTTCTAAGAATTATCCTCATTTACAGCTATTCATATGAAATAGTCCTAATCAGTCATTAAATTTGGTTTGACACAAATTGGGAATAAAATCTGTGTATTCTTTTCCTTAAAATACAATAACTTGAATTATATTTATTGCAATAAATACTATCAGTCAAACATAGTCTTTAAATGAATCTGAATTTAAAGGTATGATTTGAACCAGGCCAGAGCTAGATTGCAAAGACCGAAGCGGTTTGCTAATCTCTCAATCAGTATAGTGTGATCGACCGTATCGAAAGCGGCCGATAGATCTAATAAAAGTAAGATAACAGTCCTATTCCTATCAACGTCTAGGATAATATCATTAAAAACTTTAACTAAAGCTGTTTCAGTACTCTGAAATTGTTTATATGCAGATTGTAGTATTTCATCAAGTCCATTACTAGAAATGTGATTAATCAACTGAGATGCCACCACCTTCTCAGTGAGTTTAGACATTGACTGGTCAAAAGCATACCAACATTGTTGTTTGCTGGACACCAAATGTGTGTAAGTCATGTCCCGAATTTCACATTAGAACAAAGGAAAGTACCAAACAAAAGTTGGCAAAGAATATTGCAGATGTGAAGTTCAACATCAGGAGAGCATTTTTTCTAAACTGTCAAACCAGTTAAAGGGGTTACTGCTGCCAGCACTGTCACCCTTCCAAGCCAGGCCAAGAACACAAAGCAAAAAGTAGTAAAGTTACACCTGGCACAGCAGCTAAAAAAGGCAATGACCCATTGCTTGCAGTGCTGAAACTCAAGAAAAGTACTTTTCCAGGCTTCATAAGAGAAGTTGTCTGCAATGACCTACCAACAATCATGCTCTACACAGATAGTCAACCGGAAAAAATTGTCAGATTTTGTTACCATAACCTGACCTGGTTTTTTAACTGGGTTTAGTGGACATGTTCCTTTATTGCTTAGTATAAAACTATTATATTCAAGCAAGGACAAATGTCTCCGTTGCCCGAGTCGCTCTTTTCTTGTATAAGCAGGGCATGACTGACTGACACAAGCAGTGGGCTGTGCAGTTGGTATGGCTAGTTTGCAGTGTGCCCTAGCCAAGGAAAGCCTGCCTCTAAAGGCCTCTGTTTGGGTTGCCATAGATGCATTTGTCACCTCCTTGACTGCTCCTTGACAGGCATATTTCAGTTTTAATTTGTAGCTTAAGCAAGAGAGAAATTGAATATGTGCTTTCTTTTCCCTACCCTCTTATTTGGGAGCAAAGCCTAAAAATGGATGATGATTTCTCTTCTTAGTTTTGCTTGTCAATTGTATTTCAGCTTTATCCCAAACTTTGGTGGGAATGTCTTCATTACTAAGAAGCTGATATTCCACTAACTCTTCTTGAGGCAAGTGGGTTTCACCGGCAGTAGTCAGCAGAACTCTGGAATATTTCTTCAGAAATTATTCTACATCCTTCAACATTAACCCCTCTGGAACAAATAATTATGTAAATTTGGGTTAATTGTGTAATCTTGCTAAGGGCTGTATGCTTCAGTTGTAATTTTCACCAGGTTTTTAGCTTGATATTATTTAATGTCACTGTCATAACCATGAACTTCCATATTCCGTTTAATATGGGAAAAAAAATTTACAATCCTTTCTTAACCATCGTGAGGTAGCTTTCACTTCCTAGTTGTAATATGTAGTTTATCTTGTGAAATGAAAACAATTTTTTTTCACAAGTTTAGGATAAATATTTTATTTTAATTATACCGTCTGTGGTTGAATTGAAATAAGGTCTCATCCACGATTTTTTCGATCTCTTGTTTGCATGAAAAATATGTTTACCCATATGGCAATATTTACACTTCTCCATTTCCTTCATAAAACTGTCCATATTCACCATCCTGGATCTAACAATTAATTGATTTTCCTTTTCATCTTCCTGTGTGTTGTTTAAGAATGTTCTTGATTATTTCATTTTATTTTTATAGGAATTAAACTCAATAAGAAACAAATCTCAACACTTGGAAGGATCCGCTTAAATTTTCCACTGCACAAAGTAACACCTACCAAGCGCAGTCGTCGCGTCTTTGCCGGTGGGGTGTCAACTTTGCAGTCCTCTTTTGGCTCTTTAAATAAATGTTTACAACCCATTTCGGCAAGAGTCCTGCTGTCTAAACTTTTTCCTGCCTGCTTCCAAGAAGTAAACTTTCCATTTTAATTTTTTAACAATTACCTTCATCAGAAACAGTCAAGGTACCCGGCATTTTTGATACGCTAGATGCGATCGCGCGCGCCATCCCTTATTTCTCTCGCAAGTAATTTGCTTGCGTGTATCTTTGGATCCATTCTCCATGCAGTCGAAAAACTCTTTTGAGCCTCCTTAACTGGAGTAAAATTTCTCCAAAGACAAGGCACAAGCATATTTCCAAAACTTGCATAACAGGTACAGTAGAGAGAAGAAAAAATCAAGAAAGTCAAGGTTTCTGGGACAGGTCGTGATAATGTTCTAGAGGTGAAATCAAATCTATCAGAAATACGGTATTTTCGCGGTTGTAAGGCACACTCAGTTATTAGACGCACCCTGAATTTTTTAACTCGTTTCTTTCAAGTTGTTAAACCAAAAATTTCGCCTAAATACCCAGATATAAGACGCAATCTCAACTTTGCGCTTTTTCACTATCTTCACTTTCAAAACAATAGCGTTTTCAAAGTTCCTAATTACAGTCATGACACCTTTTTTTAACAAAAGGCAAAACGATCTGAACTTTAAGTTGAAAATAGTAGCGGAAGGAGAGGCAGTGAAAAACAAGCGGGAAATTGCACGCGAGTACGAAATATTCAAGTTAATGGTTC